TCTATTACCTCAAAGATATTAAGTCCCTGGGTTTATTTCAGTGTGCCTTCGACAGATGTATGACAGGTCAGTGCCCATGACTGAGAGATGTGTCAGAAGCCCCTTTATCCTCCTTCATTTCATCATTTTAGAACCCAAATCAGGAGTATGTGAGGCTGTGCCTGATTTCTCTTCCCATTACTCAAAATGATCACAGGGCACACTTTTAGGAGAATGTTGGGGATGTGATTCAAGCTTGTCTCCTGAAAGTGATTTTGTGTTTTGACTGCTTGTGAGACAGAGGGGAACTGGGTGATATTGCAATGGATTGCGTGAAGATCATCCACAACAGACAGGCAGGTAAGCTTGGCAAGGGTGGGGCCTTTAAGTCCAATTTGTCTCTTGCTCAAACTCTGGAAAATAAATAAATCTGCACACCAATTTAAAAATCATTTGAATTGCTAAAATAACGATAAATTACGTAAGTGTGGAAAAGGCAGCATGATATTCTCACTGCTTAATTGGCTAGAGAAGGAGGGAAATTTCCCTCTCAAATATTTGGTGCAAAAAGTTCCATGGCATCCACAATTTGTTTCAAAGCTCAGAGTAACATTCTGAATTTTTCATCCATAAATGTTTTGAAAGCACTCATCCATTTCCCAATAGCTCACAGCAGATCGATTAGAACTGCCAATTCCATGCACACATGCAATTTGAAATCTCACAATATAGCCAATTTACCTGGATCTAGGTGATATATAACTCTACTTTCTATAAAAATGCATGTATTAAAATATATTTTTTTCTGGTGTCTACATCTGTGCACAGTCTGGCAAATACTCTGGTAATGATGTAAATATTGTCTCTGCACTTCAAATCCTGCCCTATAAAAATCCCTTAAGGATTGCTGGTGACTTTCCTCCCATCTTTCATAAAGATAAAGGTACTGGCTTAAAATGGGATTAATATTCATTTATTATCATATTCAAAGAATGACTCCAGAGTTTCAGTTTGGGTGACAACAAAAAATCTCCAAAGAAATTGTAGCAATTTAAAAATAAGTCTCACTGAAAACCTGAACTATCAGCCATCTCTTGATAGCAGAAAGAACAAAGGCTATAAGCCCAATTTTGATCTGCATTGAGAAATAAAGTGATAAAAAGGAAAGCAGAGTGGGACCATCTCACCTTTTCAAGATCAGGAAAAGATCATTAGTATCATTAATGTTAGGAAAACAAGATCAAAAATATTCAAGTCATGATTACATGGTGTGAAACTCTAGAATTCAAGTGGCAAAAGAGTAATATGAATCTCTCTGAAAGTTACTCCAAATAGCAATTGTAAATAATCCAGATTTTTTAAAATACGGAAAAATATATTAACTACTTCAGAAAATCTCTTAAAAGCTCAGATTTTTGGATAATGTTATAAAGATGGTTTGATGTCATAGAAAATATCCAAACATCCATTGAATGTTCTTTGTGGTTTGAAACTGAGATGCTATGATTTTGCAATTATATAGTATTCTTTCACAGTTGTAACTTCAAGTTGAAACAACACCAGTATTTCAAAGACTCCCTTAAATGATAATTCTGATAAATTTCCAAGTTTTATAGCTATTCTCCAAACCATCCACAGAGTTTTCATTCAGTGCATACTAAATAAAACTCAGGTCATACAAGATTAACATAGCAACCTGACTGACTTGTTAGCAAACCGAACTAATGTTAAAATTTTGAGCTTTAAAAACTAGAGAAATAAAAATGCTTGCATGATGCTTCTGTGGTAGGATTATAAGCCAAGGGAATGGACCAGCCCTGACTTTGTGGCAGGAAACTACACTCACATGTTTGAGTTACTGTGATGAACATCACTGGGATTCTGTAGAGCACACCAATACTCTAGATTTCCACAGGCTGCATTATACACATACACAAACCCTTTTAAGCCTGAAATTCCTCTCTGTTCTCCTATATCTATGCTCAGATTTGGATCCTGAATGAGAATTTATTTTTTACTGCACCAAAGATTGAACCCAGGGTTTCCTCACTGAGCTACATACCCAGATCTTTCTTTACTTTTTTTTATTTGTTTATTTGTTTGTCCTGGTACCAGGAATCAAACTCAGGGCCTTGCACTTGCCAGCCATATGTGGCACTAGTGAGCTAAATCTCTGGCCCTGTTGTTTGCTTTAAGACAGGGTCTTGCTAAGTCACTAAATTGCTCAGTCTGAGCCGGAATTCATGATCCTTCTGCTTCAGCTTCTCAGAGCACTGGGATTACAGGCATGCACCACCACGCCAGACTTGGGTAAGATTTAAGGGATCCTTTGGCGTGAACCTAAATTGGTTGGAGCATTCTGTTCAGGCATTGTCCTTTGCTTGTCATCTAAGTGAGACCTTCAAAGTTGACCAATAAGAGTCACAAGGAGATAAATACAAGAGAAAATGTTTCTCTCCATACCTAAAACAGAGATGGCCTGTTGTTTCTGTTCCTGTTTTCCCTGAACCTGTCCTCAAATGGCCTTCTAAGGTTGAGTGACAGAGTGCCAAGGCAGAGCTATGCCTGCTTTAGAGGAGAGAACCAGCCTTCTCATAACAGTCCCACAAGAGGGGACAGAACACAGAGAATCAGTCCCAAGAGAGAACATGATTTTCAACTGGGATCTGGAGGTCTACGGATTTATTATCAGATATCTGCAAGTTTTCTACAAAGATTGTTCTCTTAATTTCATTTTTGTGACAACTATCACCTAAAGTAATCAAATATAAACATATCCTAGATGTCCTTGATAGTAACTTTGTAACATGGTATGCCACACTATTTCAGTCCTTGCATTTTTACTTAAATGAGCAAAGCTATTGCCACAAAATTATCACTTAAATGATGCCATTTCAAAGAAATACAAGTTTTCAAGCTATGTTTTCCAAATCTCCTGAGACCAAGGAGGCCCCCACGTCTCCAGTGTGAAAAATACCATCAAAATGCATTTTATAATATGATTCTATTTACAATCTCTCTATTCCTGCTCTAGAAAAATCTATTCTCTTGGCCTCATGACCTGATTGGAACCCATGTGGTCCTAGGCTAGTATCATGGACCATTTTGCTTGATAGTAATGAGCTATGTTCAATGACCACAAGACGGAGAGAGAAATAAAAAATGTCAGAGGGTCCCAATAGGGTTTAGAATGCCTAGCCCATATTGTTAATGGCTTAACCCAAGTTCTTAATACAGAAATTAATATTATCTGAGCCCACTGAATGTGTTCCATTTAAATATAATTACACCTTGAAACAGATTTCATAGCACTATGTCACTACTTTACATAAACAAAATATTTTTCTCCTGTCAACCTTATTGAAAATGAAGAACCCAAATGTGTCTTGTTAATTAACCGGTAGTGATCAGCAGGGTAGGGACAGTATTTGCTTCACTTCTAAGATTGCTTAGTACTCAGCAAATTAAGCATGAAAGTACTTGGCAAATTAAGCATGCTATAGTGGATGTAATGACACATGAATTTACTTTCTTACCTCATCAAAATATCCATGTCAAAATGTGCACCTAAGGATGAAGAAGGCCAACCAAAGCTAACCCATCAATTTACCAGATACAGAAAAATGACTGCAATGTGCTATTGAAATCTTTCATTTTTAAAAAATCCGATCATATGCAAACATATACAAAAGCTTCCACATTAATGATATTTAAATTTTAGTCCAAATATGTGCAAGGCCTGGGAACTTGTTATGAATGCAGATTCTCACACCTCACCCATGACCTCTTGACACCCTGAATCAAAATCCAGCAAGCTCCCCAAGCTCATGTTTGAGAAGGAGTGTTCTACCTGGACGACAGACAATCCATGCACATGTCAAATTGATAGAATTTGCATAATACATATTCACAATGCATGTAGACATATAACTCATATAGTCGTAACTCAGAAATTTAACTCAATGCAAGCAATCTGGGTAAGTTCTTGATCCATCTTTGCTAGTTTCTCTCTACTCCCTGTCTACCCTCAGGACAGTGTATTACAATGGCTTTTTACCCAGTTAGGGGTTATTTTACAGGTTAAGCTGATTGCTGAATTGGAACAATGCTTATATTTATTAAGAGTTCCCAGCAGAATACATGGCACATGGTTATATTTTCAATGAATGTTTGTTGCATGAATTAAAACTTATCTGTATAAATGGAACTGGAAAGAAGTAATAAACCATTTTGGAAAAAATAAATCCAGGCAATAGTGCTGCTAAATGAAATCATCTAAGTTGTCCTCACAAAAGCTATTGGACTCTAAACTTGAAAATATAAGCAGGAGGTAAATTTCAAAATGAATCTATCTAAATTTCCAAAGTTTTTATTTTCATGCTGTGTAAATACTGTCAAAAGCATCCCTAGTTTTCTTTCCCAACACCATTGATTGGTCCAAAATAGCTTATAATTCAGGTTTAATCTTTGACAGTCCAAGTGAACTGTGGGTCTGCCAAGTGTCCTCCAGATCTACCCAGCTACACAAAATTAGAAAATGGAAAATAATTTAAGTAGTTCATTGTACACCAACATTGGATATGCCTATCAGATATGTCTTTGTCTTCAACATCTTTCTTTCACACTGTAGTTACTACTCTAAATGCATAAAATTGCTAATGTTCTATGATTTTACTGCAGTTATTTCACTTTAGCTATAATTCTTCCACAAAAATAGGCAACACTCCTAGAACCCAGTGAACTGCTTACTTTGGACAGTCAGCTAGAAATTTGAAATGTCTTTTTGCACTACATCACAAATGTTAGAAACTGCAACACGTATCTTTTATTGAATGAATATAACTGGAAAATTTTTTAAATTTATAATTAATCTTAATGAATACATAGGGAATATTAGTAGCTAAGCAAATATTAAGCCAAATCATCATATTTCTTCATTTTTAAATCCTTTCTTCAAATTAATCAAAATCATAAATATATGAGACCGAAAGAAAGTCAATTGTAATTATTTTTAACACTGGAATAGCTAGTAAAAAAAAAAGAAAAGAAATATGCTAATAAAAATTTTCAATGACATGCGTTCTTTTTCAAATACTCAATAAAACATGTAGATGGTTTTAACATATTACAAATAATCAGACATTATTTTTAAATAGAAGCTACCTCTTTCATTGTTAGAACCAGAAATGTTTCTCCTCTTTATCAAAAATTGAAGTTTAGGCTCACACAATAATTGTAGCAGTCAAGGGGCATTCTTTAAGCAATGGAGAAACCCATGAACTGTTGTTGATGATGTAGAAAATTATCCAAGATCCTCATGCCTAGGCAATCATTCATTCCCAACAGAACTGGAAAAGAGAAACTCATGTTTATGGAGTGCCTATTATATGCCAAGAACTCTTACATTCTATTTCATTTATAAAATCCTCACACAATTATTGGAAAGAGCTTTATCCAGTCTCATTTTTACTGATATCTGAGGAGTCCAAGATTATACTGCCACATGTGGTCAATATAAGCCAGTAGTGGAATACAAATCCTAACATATTTTATAGCCAAGGCCATTATCTATAACTCAAGGAAAGCTTAAAACTAGGTGCCATTTCATCTTAACTTTAGAGCCAAGGAAAATCGCACACAGAGAGCCCAAGATGGCGCACCTAGGAAGTGATAGAGTCAGTTAGAACTCAGACTGGCCATTAGACTTCTTGATGTTAGCCATGATGTCTTCCAGCCTCATCAGACTTTTGGCTCAAGATGGTGTACTGAGGATGTGTACAAACCTTGGATCCACCCATAAGCTGACTAAAATAATGACACCCACAAGTCTTTACTGCTGTGTCTTTTTAAAAAACATGATAATAATCAGTATTTTGATAAGACTTAAACATCAACGTGAGTATAACACTTAAAATTACAGTAAATACAAAAAGAAGAGAGATCAGAAATTATTGGAAGCTGTGGTCTCTGGGGAGTGGGGTTTGTTCACAGTGGCACACAGAGGTAAAATTTACTTTTTCCTTTAGATAGTTTGAATTTTTATTACCATGTGCATTTTCTATATGTTGTTTCCTCTAGAGAAAAATAACCAAAGAAAGAAAAAAATGAGACAAGGAAATAGAAAAACGAAAAAAGAAATAAACATGCATGAAGTTCCACACAATGAAACATTAAATGTGCAAAAGATTGGAGCAGAATTAGCAAATTGTCCTGCTTTGGAAAGATCTTTATGATCTGTTGCTAAATTAAAATAATCCTAGATTTCTGTGTGTGTGTGTGTGTGTGTGTGTGTGTGTGATGCAGTTGATTGTATAATACAATGCTGTACTTATTGGCATATGCATACAAAAATACGGAGAAAGATGCACATCCAGTCTAAGGAATAGAATTAGGTCTGGGGAGAATCACAGAGGAGAAATTCACTTACTACTCATTAATGTAAATATACCTATACTGTTCATCTACCTCTATGTCTTATACTTTTATACTACTTCCACAATAAATTTAATTTTATGTATAATTTTTATTAGTATGTTTACAATATATACTAAGTACATTCACTGTGGGAAATTGGTACATGTACATATTGCAGTCTTAATCTTTTTTACTTCCCCTCCTCCCATCCCCTTCCCATCTCAACAAACTCTTTTCTGTTTCTTATTATCTATCTTTATTTTGGTCATTAAATTATTTATACTTTGGTTTTCTCATATACAATAAACTATGGGATACTTAACCTGCATCAGATTTGTTTCACTTAACATTATGTTCTCAAGGTGCATCAATTTTCCTACAAATGACTTGGATTTATCCTTCACTATGCTGAGTAGCACTGTGTTATGTATAAATACCACATTTTCTTGATCCATTCATCTGCTAATGGACATATAGGGTGCTTCCAAGATTTAGCTATTATAAGTTGTGCTGCTATCAACATGATTATATACATACCACTGTAGTATGATGACCTTAACTCCTTTGAGAAGATACCCAGAAGAGAAATAGCTGGGTCAAATGGAATTTCTATTTTTAGTTTTTTGAGAAACCTTCATACTGATTTTCATAGTGGTCGTACAGTTTATATTCCCACTAACAATGTAAAAGGTTTCCTTTTCTCACAACCTCACCAGTATTTGTTGCTTCTTGAGTTCTTGATGGTAGCCCTTCTTTCTTGAGAAAGGTGGAATCTTAGTATCATTTTGATTTGCATTTCTCTAAAGACTAAAGATGTAGAACATTTTTCCTATATTTATTTGGCCATTTGTACTTTATCTTTTGAGAAATGTCTATTCATTTCACTTGCCCATTTTTGGATCGGGTCTTTTGATGGGCCTAATTTTTTGAGTTCCTCATATATTCTACATATTAGTTCTCGGTTGGAGGAGTAGCTGGCAAAAAATTTTCCCATTCTGTAGGTTATCTCTTCACTCTGTTTCCTTTGCTGTGCAGAAGCTTTTTATTTTGACATAATCCCATTCACTGATTGTGATCTTATGTATAGTTTTTTTTATCTTTAAAATGAATAGAGATACTGAGTCAGTTGAGTTCTCCAGAAATAGATATGGAATGGGTAGGTTATTGAAGGACACACCAGTGCAAAAGGAAAGGGAGAGGAAGTAGAACGAAACAAAGGAAAGCCTTCAGGCTTGCAGGCAACTATTTCACCAGTGAAAGAAAGAGGAAGGAAGTGGCATTTGAGAGAGAAAGGAAATAAAGAGACAGAGAGAGGTAGAGAAGGAAAGGAAGGCTATTGTCTTTCATTTATAAGATGGTGGCTCAATTCTTCACAAGATTCTTTCTCTTGACTCTTATTAGCAGTTCAACTAAACAGGGATAATTCTTTAAAAGAAATCAAAAACATACTCATTCTGGCTCACAAACAAAAACAACTTTCTCTTTCATAAAGGCAAATCCATACTTGAGTTTTATGTATTTAGTGTATTGTGTACTGCTGCAATTTGTAGCATTACTATTTCACTTTTTTATTCTGAGAGAGAAAAGAAGCATGAGATTGAGTTATTGAGGAGAGAGAGAGAGAGAGAGAAAGAGAGAGAGAGAGAGAGAGAGAGAGAGAGAGAGAGAAAGATTCCTCACATTAACCAAAAGCATTCAGGCAATAAAGTGACCCAAAGCTTTATCATCCTGAAATAATGTGGAGACTCTAAAGTGCTACCATCCACGTCACGCAGGCAAGTACTGTTTGCACTGGCATTTAGATCCTTTGTGGGGGGTAAATAGGCTTTGGGCTGGGGATTGTTTCTCAAGGGTAATGCAGCCAGTGATACTGCCCATGGAGAAAAAGGGGAAAGAAAGCTTATAATTCCACAAGGTAACAACACTTGATCGTTCAACAAATATTTATTGGGATCTTACAATAAGCCAGGAAATGTTCTAAGAGGTAAGGATAAAGCAGTGGATAAAACAGATGAACATTTCTCCTCTCACTAAAAGTACCAGAAAAAAATTCAATGAATTTGGGCTTCATTAAAATGAGAAACGTCTGCTATGTGAACTTAAGAGGATGAAAAGACAAGCCACAGACTGGAAGAAAATCTTTACAAAACACATATCCATTAAAAGATAAAATACACAAAGAATTTTAAAGCTCCAAAATGAAAAAACAAACAACCTAAGTTAAAAATGGGCCAAAGATGTTAACATGTTGACACTTAACCAAAGAGGGTCCATGGGTGGAAAATAAGTATATAAAAAGATGCCACTAGGAAATTGTAAGCTAAAATGATAATGAGATACCACCACATATTAGAATAGACACAATGTAGAACACTGACAACATCAAATAATGGTGAGAATGTGAAGCCAAAGGAACCATCACTTATTGTTCCTTAAAGTATGAAACTATTCGACTACTATGGAAGAGTTGATAATTTCTTACAAACCTAAACACACCTTTACCATTTAATTTTAGAATTGTTTTCCTTCCATTCATCCAAATGAATTAAAAATACATACCTATAAAAACCCTACATAAATAATTATATTCATAAGTGAAACAGGCAATTTTGAGGGCAGAAATCAACTCAATATTATAATATAATGGTGGATAAATGTCATTATACATCTGTCAAGACACACAATGTTAGGATGGACAACACAAAAATGAATAATAAACTTTAGCAAATAATAATGTACTCATCAACTGAAACAAACATACTGCACTTATTATGATGTCCATATGGGAGAAAATGTTGGAGGATAGAGATGAAAGAGTATATATTTGGTGCTTAATTTCTTTTACAAATGTAAATCTACTCTGAAAATAAGTCTATTAATATAAAAAGATCCTACTCCCATAAAACTTATACTCCAGTGTATTAGTCAGTGTTCCCGAGAGATAAGAATTAATAGATTATATATGATTTTTAGGAGAGGAACCCTTCTCCATTGTTGGTGGGAGTGTAGACTGGGGCAACCACTATGGAAGTCAGTATGGAGACACCTCAAAGAACTAGGACTAGAGGTCCCATTTGACCCAGTTATTCCCCTGCTGGGTATCTTCCCAAAAGAATTAAAAGAATCATACCACAGTGATATATGTGCACCCATGTTCACAGCGGCACAGTTTGTAATAGCTAAAGCTTGGAAGCAGCCCAAGTCCCCATCAACTGGAAACTGGATAAAGAAAATGTGGGTTTTTTACAAAATGGAGTACTACTCAGCCTTAAAGAATGAAAAACTAGAGTCATGTATAGCTAAATGGATGCATACTGAGGCCCTACTCTTAAGTGAAATAAATAGGACACACATATGTAAATATCAAATAGTTTCTCTGCTGTGAGAAACTGAAAGTGTAAATAATGATTAAAATAAATAATTCTTAATGGGAAATAGGGAAAAAAGGTCCAAAAGGGCAGGGGAAGTGGGGGGGGGGGCGGGGAGAAGGGAAAGGGAAAATTATGAGAAAAGGAAAAAATGGAAACAAAGTCCTTGTAAATAAGGAAGGGTGGAGGGGTTGAAGGGAGGGCTAGGAATGGGGAAAAATAAGAACCAAGATGCATCATGTAAAGGTACAAGTACCCAGTGATAAACGTAAATGTGTTGTATACCTAAAATGTACCAATAAAAGAACCTAAGGGGAAAAAAAGGAAATTTGCTAGAGTGGCTCACATGGTCAGAAGCTAGACAGTCCCATAATGGGCATCTGCACACTGGAGAGCCTGGAAAACCAGCAGCTGCCCTGTCTAAGAAGCTCCAAGAAGCTGGAAGCCTTGGAACAAGAGGGACAAATGATGCAGTCTCAGTCCAGGGCTGGAGACCTGGCTGATGAAGTCCATGTTCAAGGGCTCAAGAAGAGCTGATCATGTGTTCCTATGCAAGCTTTTCCTTTCTTCAGTTTTTGTCCCATCTGGGCCTTCACCCTGTTGGATGGTACCAGCAGATTCAGAGCAGTTCTTCTCTTTCAGTTGGCTGGCCCACATGCCAAACATCTCTGGAAACACCCTCACAGACATGCCCAAAGTGTGGTTTCCCAATTTTCCAGGTGTCTCTTAGTCTGATCAAGTTGACAACCAAGATTGTCATCAACCAGTGAGGGGAAAGAGAGGATGCAGGGAAATGATGAGCAAACAAAACAACTACGGATAGTCTACAGCCATGTGAGGAGAGTTTCATGGGGGCATGGCGCAGGCAAGCTCTAAAGTGGTGGGAGGGGTGTCCCACAGGGGCAGAGGAATCCCCAAGTGGACCCAAACTCTCTCCCAAAGATTGCGGATCCCAAGCAGCTGAGAGATCCTGTATGTGTTTATGTCAATTTAAGGGTGGGCTCCCAAAAATATTTTAGCAATGCTATCTTGAAACACTGAATGTGTTATCTGTGCACCACCCTCCATGAAGCATTCCAGTTCTGTGACCTGTCTCTTCACTACAGTTATTGATACCATGATGACTTGGAGACTTCACTCATTTCAATGATTTTTTTAAAAAGTATATAGCATGTCCTGGGATCAAGTAATTTCTTATGTCTCTAAACCAGTAACTGTCAACAAGGGCAAATTTGCCACTTCAGGACACATGTAGCAACATGTGGAGATTTTTTTGGTTGTCAAAACTAAGGGTGTTATTGGCATGTAGTCAGTAGAGGCCACGGAGGCTAAACATCCTACAATCCATAGGACCTTTCCCCACTACAAAACATTATCTGATCCAAAGTGTCAATAGTGCCCAAGATGAGTCGGTCTGATTTAACACCTAATGTGTACTGCAAGTCCCTTTTCTCAAGGGCCATTTTTATTATCTCAAGCCCAAAATGAGTGTTCAGGAAGATCTAATTTGTCTTCCATTTAACACACCTGGAAACTTAGTAGAACTAATAGGTAGAACTCGTGATACAGTAAACTTACTTAAAAGTTCCACTCTCCTTCTTCCCAAATTTGCCAGTGTCCTGGTTCAGGAAGGGAGGGACAAGGCCCTAGCAGACACAATCTCTATCTCTACATCTTGGAGTCAGTAGCAGCAACAGTCAGTCTGTCAGTATTTCCACCCAGGGGACCAGAGCAGGGACTGGCTGAGTTGGGGTCTTCTGAATCAAGATGAAGAGGTCTCTCCCAGTAAGAAGGATCTGCTCCTCCAGCTTCTTATGTTGCTTCATGTCTGAGAGACCTTGTCCAGGGGGACTTCCTTTTTCTGGCTCCAGGCTGAGCTTCCTGGGGTGGGTCTCCCACAGATCTGGGAGTCCATTGATGTCATTTTGGTCCATCGTCAAAGTCAAATTCCATGGGTATGTGTGGTTTCTCCTCCTCTTCTTCTTTAGCCTCTGTCTCCTCATCAGATCTTTCCTCTTCACTCTGAGATTTGGGCCGGCTATGCAGAATCTGAGCTGGAAGCTCCAGTGTACCTGAGACACTAGCCGTCCATAGGGCATGTTCTCCACCCTGCCAGTCCAAAGGCACCTCCACCTCCTCATCCTCATCTTCATCACACACAGCCATCCTGGGAGTCCCCCCTCTGCCTGCTCCTCCCTTCCCATGCTGGGGGCTTTTCCTTGTGCTCCCTGGACCCCAATCCCTCATGCTCTTGGCCTCCTCTTAGCTTTCTTCCTGCTCTTACTCAGCCTTATTGGCAGACAGAGGGGCCTCTGGTATCCTCATGCCCAGACCCTGGAGACCGGAAGTCACTTCCCCTTCTTCTGACATAGGCACCTTCATGGTGGCTGCAATGTCTCCATAACCCCATCCAAGAGACAAGAGCCACTAGGAAAAGGGTCCAAGGATATGGGAGATGCTGGAGTACCAAACCTGGGTTCCCCTACCCCAAGGGACTAGGATCCCCAGGGGGTTAGGAAATCCTCTCCAACCAATTAGGCTCCAACAGCTGTCTCTATGGCTAAGGTGCCCACCCCAGGAGGAGGCCGACTATTCTTCATCTTTATGCCTTTGGGAATGACATGCATCTTGTGAAGAAGTGGAGAATGTGTACGCAGAAGTTCTACCATAGGAAATCTGACCCTCCTAAAGTAGCTTAGTAAAACATATATGAGTTCACCAGTATTTTAATTTGGAACTATAATCTTTAGCTAGGCTTATATCATTTTTATTCTCTGAAATATGTGTTAGCTCATCATACACACCTCCCTGCCCAGATTATGGTTTGATCCAATGTCTTAGTTACTTTTTCTTGTTGCTGAAACAAAATACTCAACACCCAAAGTTAAAGGAGGGAAGATTTGTTTAGTTCATGGTTTGTAGAGGTTTCAATCCATAATTGGCTGGCTCCAAGGCAGGGTGCCCTGGCAGACAGGCATTGTCTGTCTTGTCGTCCACAAGGAACCAAAAGCAAGCAAAGAATGGGACAAGACAAGCCTCTTTCTGTTCCTTATATTGTATCCAGGCTACCAGGATTGAGATGGTGCTAAACCAATTAGTGGACTGATTTAGTAATCACACACCCTTGATCCTAGCACCCTTATTAATCCTAGCATTGCACCATGAATCAATCACACACTCCAGATTCAGCCACATATGAAAAAGCCCCATCTATGACCACATGAGGCTTTTGGGGGGCATCTAAACACAACCTATAACACTCAACTTCCGTGATATTTGCTAATTTACACATTTACAAACAAGGGCACAGGCACAGTACACCACCACACAGACTACCTCTTATTCTCATATGTTTCTGAGAAGTATTTTCCATATTTACACCAACTCTGGTCTGGCCCTATGGTAAGATAGGTTATGCTGAGGTTCATTAGCCAAAATTTTTCATATTCCAAAATCAGTAAAGGAGAGAATTACCTTTCTTTTGCTGCCTAAAGAGATCATCACAAATTTAGCATACTCTGCAGCATATACACATTTTATTTTAGTCTGTTCATGTTGCTATAACAAAATACATGAGACTGCATAATTTTATAAAGAACAGAAACTTATTTCTCACATTTCTGAATACTGGGAACCCAAGATCAAAGTGCCGTAGGGTTAGTTTCTGCTCATGGCTCAGAATTGCTTCTGAGATTTATGTTAAAAGCGGCATCTTCCAGAGGGCATAAATGCCATGTTCTCATATGCCAGAGAGGATGGAAAGGCAAAAAGGTGTTGTACCTAGTTCATTCCAGCCCTAGTATCATTCATTAGATTTTCATTAGGTCACTAATTCCATTCATGAGGGTTCTACCCTCATGGTTCTATCACCTCCTACAGGTCTGATCTCTTAATGCTATCATGTTGATGAATAAGCTTCAACACATACATTTTGGAGGACAAACCACAGCAGAACTGTTATAGTTCTGTGGATCCAAAGTCCAACACAGAGGTCACTGAGCTAAAGGAAGGCAATGGCACTCCAGCCTTTGCTGCCTTCTAGAGGTGGCCTATATTCCTTGGCTCATGCTTCCCTCCTACCATCTGCAAAACCAACAGCATTGCCTGGTGCTGATCCTTTTTCTACTGTTTTATCTCTCCCTATCACCATGCCTCACAAAGGTCCTCAGCTTTGGAAGACCCATGTTATTAAATAAAGCCCATCTAGATAGCCCAGGATAAACTCTCTGGCTCAAATTCCACAACCTTAATCACATCTGCAAAGTCTGTTGTACTATTTGCAATTGCATACTTGCAAGTTCTTGGGATTGGGGTACAGACATCTTTCAGGATCATAGTTCTTCCTACCACAGGAAATATGGAAGTGACAAAACAATGAAAAGGAAATCCTAAAGGAGCGCATTAACAGTACAGTCACTGCTGTAAGCACCTGAGACTCAGTCCCCTGGGACATATAGGAAGTGGTGTTAAACTGAACTCACAGTTGTCCCACCCTACTGGGCAATGTATCAGTCCATCACTGGCTGAGGGTTGCTCTTAATGTTTCTTCCAAAAGCCATTAAGCTAAGAGTCATTTTCTAGGTAGAAGCTGGTAATAGAGCCCCTGGGAACTGTTGGTGTTGAAGAAATGTGGGTGATGTGTCAACAGCACCTGCTATACACAGAAACAACGTCACGTGGAAGTCACAGAGTCCCTGCAAAGAAATGGATAAATTCTTTGTGATCTCTCCATCTCTTCAACTATAGGTGGCAAAATAGAATGATGTAACCAAAAACTGGACACCTGTGTTCATGTCCTTTGTCTACCACATAGTGTTGGATTATTGGCTCAAAAACTTACGAGACTCTGATTCCAGTCTGAGAAGTTAGACCAAATAAGCTCAAACTTCCTGCTAGTTCAGAAATGGTATTTTCTATGACTTTTCAGAGTTCCTGCCCCAATGATAGCTTAGACAGACACATAGATAGCATAATAATACACAGTAGTCTTCAAAAAAGATAGGAAAGTCTTTCTCATCTCTGTGGACTTGACAGAACATGTTTCAAGGTCTTAGCTCCACACTTTCCTAAGACATCTTCTGCTTCCATCTTTCCACTGAAGTTGAAGAACACTTATGGATATTTCATTTAAAAAAATCCACATTACAGCAAGGCACAGCTAAAACTTATGCACTTTTTCCAAAGTCAATTCTAAATGTTAACACATAATGCACTTACAAAAAGTGGCAGGAAGCAAAAGAGAATTATTTAATGGGAGGTTGTAATTGTACTGTAGGCCATCTGCAATTGACTTAGGATGCTAACCAGGGAAAATCAAGAACTAACTAACCTAGACCTTGACTAACCATAGGGAAGCTATAAAATTGATCAAGTGCATCAGACTGAAAATGGTCTTGACTTTGGGAATGAGTTCTTGACCTTGAGAAAACTTTGAATCAATGCAAAATTTCCTGGGAGTCCTTGATGTAGATTTGAAAATGGTCAACAGACACTGAATTTACAAATGATTATGGTTCATCATAAAAGCTTACTCCAGGGAAGTGAGAACTGTCTTAATACAACATGAGAGGAGGTTCCAGATAGAAGCACTGGTAAAATGCAGAATCACTTGGCTTTCCCTTCAGTGTATATGTTTGAAACAATTGGATCCTATCTCAGTCATTCATATGTATTTCCTTTTTGTGTTCCCACAGGCTTCTATCTTTATAATTAATCACTTGGACATACAACATAGTCAATACCATTTGCTCTTGACCCTGCTAATCACACCTAATGTATTTATAGAATACAATGCAGGACTTGGGAAGGTTACCAGCTTGAACGTGTGGTAGCTTAGCCTTTGTCTTCCAAAAAATTAAGCTGATGTTTGGGATTCAGAGTCTTGTCTTTTGTTTTGTTTTGTTTTTTACCCTTATAGGAAATTTCAACCCAATATTGAACAAGTGCTATGAAATGGATATACATCTGAGTGGTTTGTTTTTAAATTTGTTGGCAATCAAGTTAATGTGGACTTATATATAATTATGCTTGGTTGTAATAATTTTAAAGTAATAACTGTCTTTCATGGATCACGTTTTTACATTCCTGGGTGAGTGTTTGGATTTCCTCCCTATATTGCTTTTAGATATTAAAATTGGACAGGCATGAATTTAAATAATTTTAATTATTCAGTATTTGCTTCAAATTACAAAATAGGGAAAAGCATTCTTAATTTAATTGCTGGACTAGAAGGTATCTAAACCATTTGTAGTTGACTCTATGCAGTTTAAATAATACATTCCAATTATAAACTGAAAATGAAAAAATCGTGTATAAGCTTACCTTCATGAATGAATAGCACTTGGTAATTCATTAAGCATGCTTTTCTTTGTTATCCCTTGCATGGCTCCTTAGGTAGAAGACAAGCATTAACTTATTTGATGTAAAACAAAACAGATACTGAGAGAAGGAAGCTAAGCCACTTGCCCAGGGTGATCAGATGCAGTGCTAAGAGCTCCAATCCTGGCCTGGTTCCATCCTCATTCACACAGGGAAAGGACTTCGGTCTGCTAGCCGCACAAGATCTGCTAGATGGAGTAAGATGGGTGACATGGTTCCATGTCTCCAAACTCTTTGTTCTATAACTTTCCCCTCTTTGGCCCTTGTGAATGTCTAAAGGCTCTCGGGCTAATTTTGCAGCACAATTCATGTTCAGGGAGAGCTTAAAATCAATTAACATTAGCATGTAGTCTAGTGTTTTCCACACTTTTCATAAAGCACCAACACTTAAACTGTAGAAGTAAACTTTTTGGAGAACTTTGAACTGGAAAACCCAGATGGAGTGTTGGGGTTTTGTGGAAAGGAGTTGTAAGACAGGAAATAAATAGGCAAGACGACATCTTTACACACCAGTTCTGTAAGTCCATCACCATTAAAATAGGTTTTTCTTTTCCTTTATTTTAAGCCTTCTTTACTCCTGCTATCCTCAGTATTCTTTATAATGTTAAAATAAAACTTCTTTGGGGAACTTTGTTGTGAAATGGAAAATTTGAGGCTTTATTCCAAAACATGGTTTCTCAAAACTTGTTCTCTTAGAAACCAAGTGGTTTGTGTGGTTTAGATTTTCATCACTGGCTGAGACACATTTTCCAAAGCAGAGAACCACACATGCCCACTGGGGCTCTGCTGGTGTTGGCAGCCCTTGAAAGCTGTTTTATTTTTTGGTGACTTTGGACATCTAACACTTAGTTAACCTCGCAGACATCACATAATTATCCACAGGACTCTGCATATGCATTTTTAAACACTGATCATGAAAGTTGGGAAATTGCAAAGTTTTGACTGTTTCATTTGATTGATACTTCAATACTCTTCATTTAGCTTCTTAAAGTTTCATTCTCTTTATCTCCATACTTGCACAGATAGAAAAATAATAACAACCACCAGAGGTTAAAAAAAAAAAGAATGTAAGATCTCAGAGGACCTCTGATATGTTTGGAAGGAGGAAAGTGATGGGTGTCGTTGAAGGAACAGAGATAGAAGAGAGAAGCTAAGAATATCCTTTAGTCAGAACCAAGTAATGAATTTGTAATCAGAAACATACATTTAAGTCTGGACTCAAGCCACCAGTAAGCTGTACAAATTTAGACAAGTCATTTGACACTCATGATCCTCTATTTTCTCAGCTGTAAAATGAGAGGTTGGACAACAATATTGTAAGAATCAAACCAGCATTCTTTGTTTCCATGAAATCCAGTCTACAGCCACAAGAAGCAGAAAAAGCAGTAAGAAACTCACCAAGTTTCCACCCCAAAATCTTGGCAAGAAGCCAGCCCTGAGATGGGACTCTGTGGGTAGATGAATTCAATGGTTGAGCCACTAACTTTTAAATCTAAGGAGAGAGAGAGAGAGAGAGAGAGAGAGAGAAATCCAAAAAAGATACACACCTCAGGGAATTTTAAACCTAAATAAGATTATATGTCTTTCTCAAACAATCAATAAGCATTATAACTTAGGGCTAATTAATTCACTTTTAAGGGCATAAACTCCATGACTTTGAATTGATGTCTGAGATACAGATATTTAATAAATTTTTAGACTTTATTCCCAGAAATGAGTCAGAAAGGAAGAATATCCAATTGCGCATTATTTTAATCACTCTAGTTGAGTATATTTTACTATTTGGGCCAGAATTCACAGACTAAGCCCAGTGGAGCTCATAGTACAAAATCAATCTATACTAGGATTTGAGTTCATTGAGTACAAATGTTCACTAGTATCTGTAACAAGAGTAGTTAGCTCTAAGACCCAAGTGGAAAAAGATACCCAAGTATCCCAGAAAGAAAGAAAAAACAGTAAATTTAAAATTACAGTTCTACAAATGCCCTAAAATTTGCACTGGGCCTTAGGCCTTGCTTAGAGTTATCAGCATGTATAAATGTTACTGCAACTTGATTCTCGTGTATTTGAGAATTAAATTAACTTATGAAAATTTAGCCACATTTTTCTTTACTTATTGACACTAAAGGCCCTAACCAAGCAAAATAAGTTTTCTCCTACAATAGAATCATTAAGATAATCCAATTATATTAGTCAGCTTCTCCTTACTACATCAAAATACCTGAGATAACTAACTATAAAGGAGAAGGTTCATTAGCTTCATTTTGGATCTTCAAAGTCAAATGGCGTAGAGCAAGCAGGCTATGTGAGGGCTGCCCCTTAACTGTATCACTTTGTGGCATCTGGCTGACGGAAATGTGAATTAGGGGTGGTACATCTCATTCCAGGAGAAAGAGAGAGAGAGCGAGAGCCCATAATCCCCTTCAAGGGCATAAACACCATGACTAAAGCCTCACTCACCTGTTGAAGTTCTGATATAACCACCCTGCAGACCAAGCCTTTACATATGAACTGTTGAGAGACACTCAAATTACATCTAAACCATAGCACCAGTGTATCAATTTGATCATTTTTCATCCCTTCTATAGACATTTGGTCTAGTGGTGTTTAGTCTATCCAATGCATGTAAAGGAAGATCTATCCAAACATGCACCATTATTCCTAGATGAGGGGTAATGCTGATAGGCAAATCACAGAGAAATTGTGAGAGTTATACTGGATTGTCAACTGGATTGGTTTGAGAGCAGCTCAGGGAATGAGTCAACCACATTCTGAATGTGTCTAGATGGGTCATGGAGGTTTGACCTTGGGAACTCTATCTGGTCCCTGGGCCCTTAATCTCAAGTCCTTCCTCTGCTCTGCTTCCCAGCCACTATGAACTGAGCTGCTTTGCTCCAACATGCCTTTCCACCATGATGTTCCTGCCTTGTACTCAGCTGACCACGGACTGAATCTCCATAAAACATGAGCCAAATTAAACCCCTCCTTCTTTAAACTGTGGGTGTCAGTTATTTTGTACCAGCAAAGGGAAAGGTAATATAGAAGGCTAATTCTTTTAAAACCTGAAAAAATCCCAACCCAGAAGTGACTAATCTAAAGAAAAAAGAATTTTAGGGAAGAAAACTATTGTTTTTGTTTGTTTGTTTGTTTGTTTGTTTTGTTTTCTTTGTTTTGTTTGTACCGGGGATCAAACTCTGGACCTTGCACTTGCAAGGCAGGCAGCAGAACCACTGAGCTAAATCCCCGGCCCTATTATAATTTTTAGGACTGAATAATGGTAGCTTTGGGCTAGATTAGGAATAAAACGGAACATAACTAATAGAAATTTTCACATAAAGATTTGGAGCTAGGAAAAAATTAGTTACTTTGGTGATGAATTATGAAATACCAAAGTAGCTATGGGTTCAGCCATGGGGGCAGCTCTGCTTCAATAAAACTTAAAATCATGGGTCCAAAGCCAAGCCCCCTCCTAACACCCTCACTCCACCTGTCCTGGAGTTGATATGTATGATGGACTTTTTTAGACTACATGGAAACAGGTCTATGCATGGGTACTGGGGAGACAAATGGGAAAGAAAAAGATAATGAAGGATAATATGATCATTTTGAACCCTTTGGGCTTTCTTGAACATGAGCATATCTGTTCCTCAGCCCAGATTACATTGTCTCTGAGCAACTGAGAAATAATTGATGAAGATTCTGAAGAGAGGCCAAGCTTCTTTGCATGAGGAATGAGGGGCTAAAATCTAAAAAATTCAAATATCAGTGTTCAAAATGAGGTCTTAGACACTTGTAGCAGCCTAGCTCAAGTTTATGTCTGCTTTCTCTCCCCCCTCTCACTCTGTAGCTCCTTTGTCTTCCACTCCAACTACTCTACTGAAACATACTCTCCTTTTAGGCAAATTCTCCTGTATTTCCATTACTGACTGGCCTCCGCAGCACTAGGCCACAATGCACCTTTCTCTAATGGCTGAGAGCCACCTCACCCATTCTCCTCTCTACCTCACAGCAATCTTTCCACCTCCTACCCAATTTTTTTGATCTTTTCCTAAATATGAGTTCCACAAGGCCATTTGCAGCTCTTTGACTTAAATTTCACAGCAAAACTGTGTTTATGTAAGATGCCACTTCTTCGTGGAGGAATTTAATATTTGGTAAAGACTTGAAAAGTTTCTTTATTTTACCTGTAGCCATTCACTACCATTATATTTCCTTCTGAGTAATTTTATTGCATTTAATTTTGTAAATGTTATTTCAGCTGTTGCATTCAGAAATAATTAGATCAATATAAGATTTCTTGCTTTATTGTACAGCTGCCTCCTACAATTATGTTATTCACTAGTGCTTATGATGTCATGGTTTGTTGCCATGGTAATGAATATGCAGTCACAAGTATCTCATTGTCTTTCCATTAGACTGCTGACATATTTATGTATTTAGGAACAGCATAGCTCCTGTAAATAAAATGCTCCTATTTGCATACAGATACACTTCTTCCTCAACTCTACATTTTCCCCTGTAGTTTCCATTATTTCCTACACAAACTGTATACAGTTTGTTTATTATGTATGGAGGAAAAAAAAGAAGGCTGGTTTAAAAAGAGATAAGGCAATGTTTAGATATTAAAACAAATAGATCTAAGAGAGATAAACCTTTTATGATAAGAAATTCAATGTAGTGCTTCATTGCTACCAAAATTAAGCTACTCAGAACTTAATGAATATCAGGAATTACCAAATGTTTACTAAAAATATTAACCTTAAAAATGAGAAACAGTAATTTTTTTTAAGTAGGAAGATATTTATTGATAGGAAAGTTCCCAAGGGGCAGGAGGGGTCCTGAGAGGGCAGCCAAAGACCCCCCCTTTACAGAGAAGTTTTATAGGATGGAACCCACTTGGGTACAACGTGGGCCACAGCTATGAACATCCAGTAAGATTACAAGTACAGTCACTTAGGGAATGGGGGTCCAACTGGGAAGCGAGTCACAGAGCAAGCGTACAAGGACTTTCAGTAAGGGTAAAGGTCAGGGATATTTCTGGGAGAGGTTGGGTTTAGACCTTAAGGCCCCTCCACCCCCCACCTATTTAGAATATCAATCACTGCTATTTATCCCCAGGGGAAGCACAAGGGTGTGTAGTTTCTCTCCCTTTACAATTGTGGCCTTTAGTGAATGTGCCTTGGACCACAATTGTCCTCTGTGCGGAAGGCCCAGCCCTGTATAACTGGCTGTAATATTTATAGCTAACTTAGCTGTCTACAGTACCAAGAGCCCCCAATAACCTTCCAGCAAATCCCCTTGGCTTAGTTTGGTTTGTCCCTTTCTGTGCTACAGCCAGGAAGTCTAATTGATGTGTGCTGTGGTTTGTTTCACCTTTGTCCTAGCCTTCTCCAGGATTTAGCCCCATCTGATTGCCTCTAATATTTCTTTTCTTTTTCTTTTTTTGATACCGGGGATCAAACTCGGGTCCTTGCACTTGCGCAGCAGGCGATGAAACCACTGAGCTAAATCCCCAGCTGCCTATAATATTTCTACCTAGCTCATCTATCTATGATATTCTCCCCTCTGAAGAAGTATCCCCAACCGCCATGAGGGGGCAAGGGGCTATGACCGCTCAAGCTACTTAAGGCTGAAGGGGGTCGTAGTTGTGGTTGGCAGTCAGGGATACCCTTCAGAAGGTCTATCTAAAGGTCCTCAATAGGCATCATGCGAGAAACAGTAATATTTTAAATAATCTAGAATTTCCTTTTCTTGGAGCATAAATTACATATCCATAAAGAGATACTTGAACATTTTAAACTCTTATGATGTAAAGCAAGCATAAATTTCTATTCATTTAAGACCTGAAGACTAATAAACAATATCAGGTCACACATTTCAGATCATTCAATGAATATGGCTCTTTATTCTTGCCACCACCATCCCCCTGCCTTTTCATGAATCCTACTCAGAAGTAAAGCATTTATTCCGTTCAGGGAGATTCTCTCTGGAGGGGAAATAATTTTATGAGTAAGACTCCCTGGTGATCATGCTGACTTGGAACTGCTGCTAATCAGCCTTTTTGACATGCTAGCTTGAATAGCACTTCCCATGATGCCTTGTGATTCTACCTCAACACTTTCCTTTTGAACTCACCATGACTCATGAGAGCCTTTTTCTCTCTTTGTGTGTCTGAAGTTATCCCACTATTAACTTTAATTGGAAAGGTTCCTTTTGTTCCACTACTTAGTCAGACACTAACCATTGAACTCTCCAGACTGAAATTTCAGGGGTAGTAAGAACAAGTTTTTAATAATTAAGGAGAATAAATAATGACAACTCTGATAACTTTATAGTAGTTAATAAGAACTTACTGAAATGGAAGG